AAGAAAAAATAGTCCCACAATTCATTCTGCAAAATATATATATTTTGTCAAAAATACAGTGGAAAATATAACTTAAAGAAATGAAATATATTCTTTATGGTTGTTTTTCTGTAATGGTTGTTTCATATAACAGTAAAAGGCATTCTTAAGTGTTATTTACAAATAACAAAGTGCATGAATCTAGTACCCAAAATGTTTACACTGTTTTGCATTGCGCAGCGATATAGTTGGTAGCCAAATTTATAATTTATAATTTTAATTGTTGCAAACCCTTATCATGATTAAAAGAAAGAGTTATGGAGTTTTAAATTAAAAGTACTAAATTATGCAGAAACACATGGAAATTGATCAGTAGAAAGGCAGTTTGGAGTTTTAGAAAAGGTTGTCAGAGGATGGAGAAAGCAGAAAGATCAGCTTAAAGAAATGCCGAAATCAAAGAGAACAGCAAGTTATTCAGTATCTCCATATCAAAATATGGAAAAAGAATTGTATGATTGGATGGTAGAAATAAGGGCTTTATTGTAACAAGACTTTCAATAAGAACCAGATCCTTTCAAAAAATACCGGCACAACAGTTACTTCCTTTTGTATACATGATGATTGATGAAATGTATTTTAACTGCAAAAGTGTATTAATAATTGTAAGTTTCGAAATAAAGGTAGGAATCTGATAATTCTTACATTTAAAAAGCACTGTGTAACTCCCCAGACTATAATGCAACCTATCTGTGAGTCAACAATAAATCATCAATTATTAAGCCTATCCGGTGGGGCAACCTATCTATGAGTATATATATAGTAGTTGTTTAACACAGCTATGAGTAGTATAATAGAGGTCTATTTTAGCTAAATGAGGTTTACTTTTTTAATTAAATCTCACATAAATCACATCCACAATGTTTATAAAATAATCTAATTTGATACATAAATCTTTTCAGCATTTTGGAAATATTGATTAATCTGTTGTAAGCAAACTTTTTAAATCAATGACTTCCAAAAAAACAAAACTCATATTGTCAATAATGACTTTGGAGGTGTAATGACATAGGCAAAATAAATATGCCCTATTTCGCATAGCATCAAACAACTGCTAATGAGTTAATCTGTACATCACAGTCTAGAAGACACCATAACAATAAAGAATTGCCGATAGGATCTGTAACACAGTTAGGATGTATTGGAAAGATGGATTCATTGTTTTGCTACCCAGGCACAGACCAAGAAGTTAAAAAAAACCCACAAAATTGTAGGAGGGGAGAATAAGATTACAGATCTCTTTTTAATCTCAGCAGAATGTGAGGCCATTAAAATGATCTCTGTCATGGCATATCCCAAAAAACTGGAGGATTTGAACTTTCACAAATTTTGGGCATTATAAAAAGAAATTAGCGGACAAAAAAGAAGTTGGTTATTCCTCAGAGGACAAAGTTTCTTGCAAGCAAGCAACAACCAAATGAAACAATAATAGAGTATGTATACAATCCTCAAGAGGCTTCCAGATTTTGTGAGTTTGAAAATATTGGCACTGGAGAAATAAGCTTCAATGATGAGCTGATACAGTTGGGATTAATTGAAGGTATGTGTGATGCTTCACACAAACACAAAATTTTAGAATGGTTACAACTGACTAAAATGTCCTTGGATGCATCTAATAAAGTTTCTGCAACAATTAGAGTTAATTGAAAAATTCAGTGAGTCCATGAGTAATTTCGAAGCATATACAGCATATCGAATTACCTAATATTCTGATAAAAAACATGAACAGGACAAGAAAAACCATTTCCAGTCTGAGTCCAAGTAGAAAAAGAAAATAGAAAGGGTAGAAAATTTATCCCCTCCCCCCACACACACTCAGGAAATACAGCTGCATTTGTAATACAAAGACCTAAAGAGAAAAAAATAAATTGAATGGTATAACTTTTCCTATGCAAGTAGATACTAGGGTGATGTCACTCTAATCACAATAAATTTCTGGGAACAAATGGGCAAATCCAAATTAAAGAAAAGTTCGCTTAGACTAAGACAGCTTGCTGGCTCTTTCATCAAATGTTAGGTTGTTTTGAAGGAACTTTTGAGACTGAAACACACTTTAAAATTATTCCCATTACGGTAACAAAATGTGAATAGTCATGGACTCCTGGTAATAGTTGTCTTGAAAGTGGATACAACCAAAAAGTAAAAATAGGAAAGTAATGACACAAGGAAATTAAAAGTGAGCATTTGATGAAAAGAAAATAGTCAACCACTTTACTTTGAATCTTGCAGGCTGGCCATTCATCTTTACTACCTTTAGTAGTTGCTAAACTGAAAACAATGGTGGAACAAGGAATTTTAGAACATGTTCCCCCTGGTGGTAATAATTCAGCCCCATCAGTTATTGTTTTACGAAAACCAGATAGAGATTTAAGGATATGTGGGGAATACAAAATAGTAAACCACAAAATATGCTCCAATTCATCCCCTATTCCTAACATTCACAAGTTCTATGCACAAGTTGTTGGGAATTAGATACTTTGCTAAAATTGACCTCAAATCTGCCCATAACCAGATACAAATTGATGAAAAATTTAAAGAGGTCACTACAATTAACTTTCCACTAAGCTTACTCAGATGGAAGCATATGCCTTGTGGTGTAAAAATAGCAAGTGCTATTTTTCAAAAAGTCATTGAAAATGTACTAAATAGTGATGTTAAGAATATGATCATCTATCAAGATGATATATGTATTGATGCTACCAGTAGAGAAGTGCTAAAACAGATTATGTTTTAAGCAGATATTTGCCAATATATAGTGAATTGATAGAACCCTTTGCAGAGTTGTGAAAAAACAACAATGAATTTAAATGGACTCAATGGCAGAATACAGCATTTGAAAATTTAAAGAAAGAACTTTTTAAAAAGAATCCGTTGTAAAATTTTTGACCCTAAAAAGGAATTGACTTTAACTATGAATGCAAGTGAGCATACTGTATCAGTGATTTTTATCTCAAAGTCATCCTATAATGTACCTTTCGGAAGGTTAATGTCAGCTAACTATTCAAATATTGAAAAAGAAACATTAGTATAGAGCCCAGATAGAGCTCACCAATTTTTATTAGGCAGGAAGTTTCTGCTTAAATCTGACCATAAACGTTTAGAGTTTATTTTATCTTCAGGAAGGAGTGACCTATCTCCTAGAATGTTAAGATGAGCTATAAACATGGCCTTTGACTTCAACATCAAATATGTCAAAGGAATCCCTATTCCACATGTGGATTTTTTTATCAAAGCTAAAATTCAACACTGAACCATTAGAAAGATCAGACAATTCAGAAGATAAAATAATGTGGAATAACAGCAATACAGAGATGATAAAAGTTGGCACTGTGGTGGCCTGGGTATTCATGAGACATAGAAAAATATGTATAAATATGCCCAAAATGTAATGAAATCAAAATCTTTCACCAAATTAAGATACATTCATAACCTAAAGAAAAAAGTCACATGATTCATATAAACATGTGCCTAGGACTATTTTTAATTTTGATTGACTCATTCTCTGGATGGCGTGAAGGTCAGGCTAGGAATGCAGTTACAGTAAAGCAAATATTACAAGTAATATTTTCTATAAATGGGGTGCCAAAAACATTAGTCACTGACAATGCACCAGAATTTAGTGATGAAATTATGTATTTGTAGTCAAAACCAATTGGATGTCTCCCTTATAAAAACACCACCCACAATCGAATGGAATGCAGAAAGAATGATGTAGATGGCTAAAATGAGGGTGAAAGCATTTTCCCCATTCAGAGATGCCATTGTTACTTACTGAGACTATTACTTGTAGAACTATTCCACATACTGGTAGAATGCAAATTCCCTCTGTATTAATGAGAAGACAAATTGCCTATAATAATGTCTTATTCAACAAATGAAAATATGTAGTCCAAAAAAGACAGAGACTCATCCTGAAAAAGCTAAATTTATTGTACAAAAGGAACATAATGTTGCTATAATAGAAACAAGTGGACAGAATTTATTGAATTATTCTGAACAAATTAGACCTAGAAGTGATGACAAAGAAAGAAGATGAGGAATATGAAAGGGAAGAAAGCATGAATGTTTCTGATGGGGAAAGTGAACATAGTAGTAAAGTAACTATGAAGTATAGTTCACACAAATCCAACATGGAGTCAGAAGATCACAATGAAAATTAGTCCAGACCTAGATCCCCAATAAAAAGAACCAGGTACACACCTCAATAGAGAGAGAGAGATAAAATCTCATACTAAGCTTGGAAAAGTCACAGATTACAATGGGCATAAAACCTATTTGTTTCCAGGAGGTGTAGTGACATAGGTAAAAAGGACTTTCCCTATTTTGTATAGCATCAAGCAACTATTATTAAGTTAATCGTCACATGGCGCAAGGGAAGAATTTCTACATCATAGACCAGAACAGGAGGATTGATAGATAACTCACTTATTTTGTAACAGAAAATAATCAAACCTGGAATATAATTTATTTTTTAATTTTTGTTTGCATGTATAGAATGTTCAGTTTGAAGAAATGGGTTTACTCCTCTTTGTCAGTTGTTTCTTACTTGAAAAATATTTTCATTAATTATTCATTTGTCTTTGTTAAATTTGTTGTTTATGACTGAAACTAGTATCTATAGTTATTTACTTTGAGGCATTTCATATTTTAAAGATGTAAAATGTAAACTAAAGTAATGGCTTGAAATTTTAAAATTAACTATGAGGCAACAATTCTACTTAGAACATTCAGTTGAGTGTGTATGTACATAATCATGACTTGTTTCTGTTACTAAGTAAACAACAATGATTACGTAAAAAAGAAATGAATAATAGGCTTAGAATTATAAAAATAAAACATTTTTTTATAAAGCACACTATAAATTTTAAAATTGTTGAATCCAATTAAAAAAATAACTTATTTGAAAATCATAATGAATTGCTTATTTTATCTTTTTAATATTTTAATATCTATTCCTTTATTAGATGAAAGACATTCTATAAAGAAAGAAGCTCTAAGAGCCAAGGTATGTAAAAAGCTTGCATTTTATGAATTTTTCTTTCCATTTATATGAGATGTATTTCAATTATATTTTTCTGCTTTAATCATCTGCATATATACAATATTTATACTCCTGATTTATTAAGATTCATTCACAAGTAACTCTGCCTTTAAATAAATACAAACAATGGCATATCTGTTGAATTTCTCGGATGAGGAGTTATCATTATTTACAATGAGACTATTGTCCTTATCTCTGGTGTTATGATCACAACATTTAGGCTGTTGTAGAATTTTAGCAAATAATACACTAAAAAACAGCAGATAAATAAAAACGATTGTTGATAAACTTGAAGTAATTCACGATAAAACACCTGTCATCACTTAAAGCATCAAAATAGTTCTAAATGACATTTGCCTTTAATAATTACACTTTTTCTTTGCTTATCAAATTTTTTAAAATTTAATTTCTCTCGTCTATTTGCAGTGAAAAATACATTCTTGCAAAAATCAGATAATTGTCAGATTTTAATGAAACTTTCAGGACTTATTCAGAAATTAATTAAATTATTTTTTATGTTTCCTTTTTAGAAAATTTTGGTAAAAATATTTTTTTAACATTAATTTATCCCCACTCATTTAATTTTATAAAATTTCAAGAAATTCTTTTTTGCCATGCTTAATATTTATATTATTTCTAAGGACAAGTGTTGGAGAATTTAAATCATCAGTTTTTTGAAAATCATAACAGGAACCCCAGTTACATAATATCAGTTCTGAATTTAAAAAAAAAAAAGAAATGAAATGACTAAGACAATATTTAATTAGAAAAGATTTTAATTGATTTTATGAATAAAATATATTATGGATACTATTGTCTTAAGAAAAAATTTTTTCAATGAATAATGAATTTTTACAAGAATTGTTTTCATTTCTTTAAGTTTTAATTAGAATAATTTATAAATTTTTAAATCTTTTAAAATTCTGCATTCATTTGTAGTGGTCAATTGACATTGTCAACAACTTTTCTATCATTTACACAGAATTTTTATTTGCATACCAAACAATTAGACACAATAACAAATTCTAAATACAAGACTATTAAGCTCATAAAAACAGTTTTTAATATTAACAAAATGGTCACTTTAATTAATTTGACTATTGAAAAGAGTTGAAAAGGATGGCAATTCACATGGTGCTGCAGGGTTTCTGGTTAGATAATAGTTCAGTTTTACAGATTCAAAAATGAGATAAATCTTGTTTTCATACAAAGTTTAAAACCAGTGTTAATACCTCTAATTTTGTGACAAACTGTCACAAAAAACTATAGACAGATAATCATATATCTCTCTAAATTTGTAGAATTTTCTTTCTTTTCTTCTTCTTTGGTTACTTTGTTTTCCTTTTTGTTGGTGGCGACTTCCAGTTGTTCTTTGTTCAGATCCCAGAACCAGTTGACATCTTCCTTGTGAATACTGAAACCCTTTTGCTTTCAGTTTTCTATTTCTTCTTCTGTATTCAGCTCCCAGAATCAGCCAATGTCTTCCTTGTGAAGTAATTGAATAGCACATACCTGAAATTAATTCATTAGAAATGAATTAATTTCAGGTATGTGCTATTCAATTACTTATTTTATCAATATCTTTTATTCTATGCTTAACAAATTAATTATTGGTTATAATACTTTCAGCAAGCAACCAAAATAACATTACTTGAACATCAACTGCTACAATGGTATTCTTGATTGAGATATTTAAAAATATTCTCAATTTTTTACCTATATATAGCAAGCAACTTCAAAGTGGGTAAAGTAGACCAAGCATTCTGATCTTCAGTGGAGATGACAGTGTTCATATTCAATTTCTGACAGCATAGCTCACAAATGAATATTTTTCTGTTAATTGTTATTGGTAGGTTATGGTGTAATTTGTAATTTCAGCATTTTCATTAGATTCTTGACAAGTCTTAAATTTTTCAAAACCATTATGTGATGTTTTAGTAGTTTCATTTAAATATTTACCATTAGATATGGCATTACAACTCAACATATTGTAAGTATCACTAAAAGTAACAGATCTCGTTCAAAACCTCTGGAAATTCTATACAGAATATTTTCTCCACGTTACATTAAAGTTTAAAATTCTCAACCAAAGCCCCTACATGTCCCTTTTGTTCGCTCTAATACAAAGTTCACATGTATAATTGGATTATGAAGAATACTGAGAAATTATTATATTAAAATTATCCTCAGTTAATTATTTACTAATCTTTGAAAGAATCATTTGGTTAGGATATAAGAAATTTTTTATAATCCCAAAAGGAATTATCCACTAGGAATTTGCCATGTTGATCTATGCATGCATTTATTTGCATTATACTGAATTAAGTCTACCTCCATTAAATCATGAATGGTAGTAGAATTGTTTTAGTTTTTTTTTTTTTGCAAAATTGAGTGCTAATTTGTAACTTAAATCTCAGATGTTTTTTTTATGAAAACTATGAACATCAAAATTGATATCAATTTTATTATTGATACATATGGGTAAAAAAAGCAACAAATAGCATTATGAAAACCTATGAAAAGTTACTTTTTTTTAGTTTAGAACATAAGAACATCATTATATTTATTCAGTGTGACAAAATAATTTTTACTTTTTATTTTTTTCCATATAGATTCAGAGAAATATGATCTTTGGCTTAATGTGTCCTCTACACAATTAAATTTAGAATTCCTGTTTCCATTATAAGCTGGTATGGACACTACAGGTAAAATTAAATTAGATTTTTCCATGTTCCATATTAGTGACAAGTGACTTTTGATTTAGTCTGAGTGAACATAATGCACGCATGTGTCTCCTGGATTGACAAAATTTACATTCAAATGCTAAGTATTTTTAGCAATGCAGTTGTTGCAGAATTTATGCTAAGTAAGATGTGTCAGAAGGTGAAATTATGTGAAGTCCTAAAATGTGCGTGTACATTATGCATTTATCCACAACAAATAAATTAAACGAACATATGAAGACAATACAGCTTGAAGAAATCAAGGAAAAAACAACGTAGTTATAGATTTCAACAATAGCATGAATTTATATATATATATTTGACAGACACAAAGTGATGATAGGTTGCTTGTTAAATGTGGTAAGTGAGAGAAGATTGCAAAGAGTGTCCATGCAGAGATTTGGTGAATGAATGTTGATGGTTTAAGTTTGTTTGTGAAATTAAAACAATTTGATTTCTGCAAGGTAAAATATCAATTGTGTGAGTTCAAATAATAGTATGCATGTGTGTGACAACTGTAAGTGTTAATTCAAGTTATGAAGAGTTGTGTGCCTTTGACTGATATGCTAAAATTGATTAAATGTACAATTACTATTTCATAGACATAATGTCACTTTTTTAGTAAATTATAAGTTAAGTTTCTTCACACGGCAATAGTAGTGCGAGTTGTATTGAGTTGATAAGAGGCTGGTAGTGTTATTGAGTCAGTGTGTTGGCACGTGTGGAGTCTGCTGGCATCTCTCAAAACTCAGTGTCTGACTGACTTGAATCAAGTCAAGCGATTCTTTTTTATAGATTTTTGAGTTTTCAAATAGGCTCCAGACAGCTGCATGGGAAAAAAGGTCCTTTTAACTAATGGGGAGTTGAGTTTGGAAAAGTGAAGTGATGATTGGTTAAAGGTTAATTTGGGGAAGAGTGCATCTTCTCATAGGGGGTGACAAGCAAGTATGGAGGATTCCATATACTGTTGGATTTCATGCTTAGGGCTCATGCAAAGAAAACAAATGTTTCTCTCTACATTTAGCTAATCTAGACTTTGGACACAATGTACTAGAATGATTTTGAGCAAGATGAAATTTACATATTCTTTCACATTGGTATTGAAATGTAATGTAGAACAAAGCTTGTTTTGTCTGATTTTTAACTGGACTTTTTTACTACTACTATTCTTAATTTTCATTATTGTAAGATTTTTTACCACTTTGCTATAGTTAGTAAAAATTTGTGAGAGTGAAGGATAGTCTCTACATTATGAATTATTTCTTTATTCAAAATATTGATTAATATTTTAGGTTGAAAGAGATTTTTTTATTTTAGGTTAAAGGAGTTTTTTTTTTAATTCTAAGTTTTGTTCAATATTGCTTAACTTCCACAAATTGAGAGTCAAGCATAGGTTTATATGTATTTTTTAATAGCTTATTTACAATATAGTCATGATGCAAATATTCTTTTAATAACTGAATAGCATTGTCATAATTCTTATTAGTAATTGTTAAATGTTGGATAATCTGCCGAGCATAATCTGAAAGATATCTTTTCAAACACGCTAATCTAATGGCTTACTCTTGCCACATGATTTTTAAATTAGGGGAGGAAGTTTTTGAAGGCAAATTTATTCCTTAAGTTTTACAACTAAATATCAGGCATTATTAATTTTGGGAGTTAAGAACACATTAAAATTAGAGACATCTTTACTTTAGTAACAGCACTATCATTATCTGTTTTAACATGAATTGCTAACTTAGCTAAATTGCCCAGTATATCAGAATTAAATTCTCTTATACTCTTTCTATCCTTTCCCATTTCTTTTTTGTCAGTGTAAATATCATTTATTTGATCAGTAATAGATTCTACAGTCTCTAGCCACTTTTGAATTGACTGTTTTTGTTAAGAATAATGGTTTTTAAGATTTTTTTAACCTTCAGTGAGTTGATGGCCGTTTCAAACTTATTTTTAATCAAAGTGCATTTCTAGAAATATCAGCCATTTTTAAAAAATCCCCTATTGAAATTTATTCTTTATTTTAGTTAAAACTTAAAACTTTTGAATTAAGGTTATTATTTTTTTTGAGTTTTACTTTAACACAATTTTTTATTATTTTATTTTGAAATTTAAATTTACTTTTAACTCAAAATATTTTAATTATTATTTTAAAAGTTAATTTTTACTTTTAAAATTGTCTGATTTAATTTAAAAGTTAAATACATGCTTTTAGTTTCTGTGGTGTCTAAATTCAAATAC